TTTCCGTTACGCGCCATCTGTTTTGTATTCATGTCTATGATAATAAAATCCTTTTGTTTAAACTTTATCTAATTTAACTTTTTTGTATTCATGTCTATGATAATAAAATCCTTTTGTTTAAACTTTATCTAATTTAACTTTATTTAACCAATTTCTAGAAAGTTGCATGTAGATCATTTTTCGAAAAATAAGGCCATAAACAAGTTTCACTTTTTACGTGTGTACACTAGTACACGCACACATTTTTTTATTTTTTTTTGAACTGACATTTGCAGATGATTACATGATATAACTGGAAGCGTTGCAGCGTGTTCTGATTTTGTGTTGTAATTAAACTATTTGTGTACTTTAGTTTGAGGTGTTGATTCCAATGCAACTGCCACTTAGAACTGGTAGAGCACCAATTGCAATTACATTAAAATTTTATCCAAAAATTGTTTGGTAACACTGCATCAGTTAAGATTTTTTTTGTTTACTTGTTACCATATTAATGAGGTTGCTTACAGATACAGAAGAATGTTATAAGTTAAGTGCGTTTTTAGGAAGTAAATGAAATCAGTGATTTTTTTGCAAATCGCTAACAAGTTACTGGCGGGAGTAATAAAATTACAAATAAGGTGAACAATTAAATTGTTTAAAAGAGTCCTTCATATATATATTTTTTATTGCTTAGTTGGGTGGACGAGCTCACAGCCCACCTGGTGTTAAGTGGTTACTGGCCCATAGACATCTGCAACGTAAATGCGCCACCCTACTTGAGATATAAATTCTAAGATCTCAGTATAGTTACAACGGTTGCCCCACCCTTCAAACCGAAATTGATTTAAAGCAGAAATAGGCAGGGTGGTGGTACCTACCCGTGCGGACTCACAAGAGGTCCTACCACCAGTGAATATTTTGTCATATTTTGAAATGATAAATTAATTTAACTACTATTGTATTTCGGTATAGTGTGTACGCATTTTCGAATGGAGTATGCTAGTCATACAGCTCCGCTAACATTAGTCTGCGGTTTCGAGGTTTCCATTTAACTCCATAACGAGTGCTCGAATTACCGGGAAATATATGATCGTTCATGAAATGAAGCGTACGATTATTTCGTTCGCGTCTGTACCATGCAAGTACAGTGCACCACAAAACGTTTCGGCTTCTGTCACGGACGTTTCATCTCAAAGGATGCCATTACTATGTTACTAACAAAGATATTATGTTACTAACAATATACACACGTGCATTTAATATCTTTGTTAGTGAATAATAATATCTATCCGACGGTAGCTTCGCTCGTGCTAAGTGTACTTTATATCGCGACAAATAATATTTTTTTACTGGTGGTAGGACGTCTTGTGAGTTTGTACGGGTAGGTACCACCGCCCTGCCTGTTTCTGCCGTGAATCAGTAATGCGTTTCGGTTTGAAGGGTGCAGCAGCCGTTGTAACTATACTGAGACTTTAGAACTCGGCTTGCGTTGTAGATGTCTATGGGCTCCGGTAACCACTTAACGCCAGGAGCTCGTCCACCCATCACCCTAAAAAATAAAAAGGACGAATAAATAGTCTTAAAGTTTCAATGTATTATTATGTAAAAAGATTAATAATTTATAATTAAAATAAGTAATTTATATTTTATAAGGTTCAAATTCAATTCCATTCGGTCGGTTTTTTTTTGGTACCATCTAGTTTTAATGAAACAAATTAAGCCTGAACTACCAATGAAAATGACATTAATATTCATTCAGTCTTTACGGGGATGGGCGCGAACAGATAGACTGAGAGAAAATAATTCTAAAAATCGTTGATTTTCATTTTATTCCTCTTCTTTAGTTAAGGCCTTTTCATATTTTATTTTTGTTCGTGCTGTTTCGACATTGGATTCTATTGTTTTAATGTTTGTATTGATGATTAATTTTATTAATTTAAGTCTAGGAAGATTACCAACCGGGTGGACGGACATTGTCAAGGAGGCCACAAACACCAGTGTCCCGGGCGCCCTTAAGCAGGCCGAATGCAGGCAACATTGGAGGATGCTTGTGCAAAAACTAGACCAAGGTGGTCACGACCTTCAGTAATGAGGAAGCGACGAAGAAGAAGAAGAATTTATGGTTATGGTGATCATCGTCATGCCTATATAAAGAGATACAGGTAATATTCGTGAAATAAATAAAAAATATTGCTCACTAAGGAACACTAAGGTTTTTCTGAAAACCTAATTCTGTTTTATGTTTTGTTTATGGCTAATTCTATTTTTTATTGCCTTTGTAGGCAGACAAGCACATGGCCCGCTTGATGGTGAGTGGTTACTGTCGCCAATGGACTTCAGCAATGCTAGGGGCAGAGCCAAGCCGCTGCCTACCTGGTTTATTATTTCATAGTTCATAGTTCTAATCTCATAGCTTCATAGTTTTAAAATTAAATTAATTGGTACCGTGACAACAACTACCAATAACGTACGAACTCAATTCACATAAGCAACACAACGATCTATTTGACCTAGTTCCTTCATCACGAGACCCAAAGAATAGTTCAATCAAAACGAGTCTGCAGAGGCAACCCTATTTGAAACAAAAGTCCGTCGTAGCAGCGAATTGACTGTCTTAAGTTTTTTTCCTTGAACACGCATATGCCCACATTTCATGGTTGCCCCAACAACACTCAGGGGTAACATTTGGTCGGCCCTAACGCACTTACATTAGCACCATTAAGCAGGGACGGTTTTGGGATTTGGTCGGCGGTTTGTTAATTCTATAAAGTTTAATTGAAACTTGTCACGTGTAAAGAATTTTAATATAAAATTGTATCGAGATCTGTAAGGGAATTAACATTAGGTTTATAATTACATAATAGCACAAAAATGTATGATGAATTTTATTATGTAATTTTGTTTTATTACAGATTGAATTTAAATTTTGAAATGTACAGGTATACGAGTATGTTTAAATAATATTTTGAGATTTTTTTTAATACTTTTTTTTATTACTTTTTTATTATTATTTTGAGTTACTTCCAGTTATTTTTCATTATTATCTCTATTTTCACAATATCTTCTCATTGTCCAAAAGGTTGAAAACAATGATAAGTTTTCCATAATTACAGAGCAAGTCCTGAGATCCTTGCAGATTCTACGGAGTAGTGAAATTTCATTCCGAATCTGTAGAAAATTTATAAAGATTTAAAAGTGCCAATCTAGCCCAGATAGATCAAGATCAAAAACATTTTTTTCCACAATTATTTTTTCCCCTCTGATGTTCTTTTATCCTTTGAAATATCTAACAGACTGCTATGCGTAATCTTAGCAAAATCTCTCAGACTGAGCTCCGTAAGTTCAGCTACCAGTTAAACCAGTAGCCCCTTGAGGTTTTAGATTATTAGAATTTTTTCTTTGCCGTAATTATCATTCATTTCAGTACAGTCTATGTTCTCTATATTCTAATCTACATACTATATTTCTATTTGATTCTATGTGATTCTAGAAAGACTAGTTCGATAGTCACGTTTTGCTGCGTTCCAGTTTTGCACAACCCCAACCTAAATCCCCGTCTGTCTATCAGATAGTACCCAATTAGTCGAACAGACGAGATAACTTCGGATCAATGAGTTAGTACTATTAAACTCGGCACATCTAAGAAAGGCTCGAAATCGATATATTGACCTTTTGATGATATCAAGCACAGTGAACCGGAGATTTTACGGCACAAAGAACAATGTTTGAGGGAAGGATTTATGAATAGATTCGGTATAGTATAAACGCTATGGGTTGCCTTTGTCCCTGGTATTGCTGATTTTAATGACCAATTACCACCATCACATGGCTTTGCTTGTATGCCTTTTGAGTCTGACGTTTGAGTGTGTGCTGTGTAAACTAAGCATTAATAGATATGTCACGTACTATCACTAAAGCCTACAATAAATAATTCGATTTGTATATCCATTGAAATGTTTTGAAATTAGATACTCAGTAATTTCATGGCAATTTTACTAAGCCTATTGTGAAATTCTATTGATAAATTGTTTGCATCTGCAATTATTATAGGTATTCCCGTGTTTCGAACAGAGCAGAATCGAAATATGTACTGAAATATATATTATATGTTTTTTGTTATTATTATAGATGAAGGGGCCAATAGGTACCATAATACCAGTGGTGCAGTCCATTCTTAAATGTTCTCTTAAAGAATTGAAATAATTACATTGGCATAATGACCCCACGAAACAAAAATCTAATCAAACAAGTCACACTGTTTACTTAGAATTATAAAAGTGCCGTTTTTTATAATTAATTGAAAAACAAAAAACACAAGAATATTTCCTTAAGCACTCCAAAACATGATATGAGAAACTCAACACTAACACATGAGAAAAAACACAAATCGAAACTTCTCCCCTAACAAAAATAGAACACTCTATAAAACAAACATTATGTTATGTTTGTTAGGAAAACAACCTAATATATTACATTGTTTTTGGTACGCGTCGGTGTTATTTAACGGGGTATGTTCATTATAATACAGTAAATTAATCAGCTTTGCGTAAGCCCTGTGGGTTTGAATATTTTCAAATTTGTTTTTATCTCGGGTTTATTTTTGGCTCATAAATTTAGTGAGATCTTTGCACGGGTTTTCAGGGATGCGTGTATATACGACATGGCCATTCAAATTTGATAGATTATAGATAACGCCTTGCCATCAATAGTGTCTCATTACTGATGGTAGGACCTCTTGCGAGTCCGCGCGGGTAAGTACCACCACCCTGCACATTTCTGCCGTGAAGCAGTAATACGTTTGCTTTGAAGGGTGGGGCAGCCGTTGTAACTATACTGAGACCTAGAACTTATATCTCAAGGTGGGTGGCGCATTTACGCTGTAGATGTCTATGGGCTCCAGTAACCACTTAACACCAGGTGGGCTGTGGGCTCGTCCACCCAACCATTCAACGCTTCGGCTGCTTCGTGCAAAGCGCACTTTACGCTGGTTTGATTGTTTACTTTAATAAAAAAATACTTACGTGATCGTTGGTGGCGGGTTCGCATGCACCATACACGGTAGGACTACGTCGCCGCCCCTTCGCACGCTGGCTTCCCACTGACCATGCGAAACGGCGCGTGGAGCTGAAGACACGGTGACTGCTGTAGAAGAAAATGAATTTGATAGTTTTTAACTTTTTCTTTTACTATCTAGGTACTGACTTGACTGTATGGAATTTGAATTACTTGTTTCTATGAGACACTTTTTCTTCTGTGAGAGAAAACAAAATGGTAATCTTTGGAGGAGGCCTTCACCTGAGAGGGGTCTATGCATATAACATAATTAATAGGTTTGGGAAAAAGTCTTTTCGCATTATAGTATATTTATGACGTTGTAATAAAATCTTTTTGGCTATATTATTTGTATTTGGCTGGTTTTGGTATCATTAAATGTTTAAATTCTAAAGAAGACAATTCCAAATTCAAATTAGGAAATTGTGTGATTTTTATTTGTTTTTCGTACTGTCAAGATGAGTGAATCTAATGAATAAATTCGATACATTTTAAAATTTTACTACAAAAAAAATATGCAACGCAAGCCGCAAAAAAAAATTGCCATGTTTATGGACCTAGTGCAGTGTCTCTGAGAGATTTTATTATAATTTTCTGTTGTGACAACTAATTGCCCTTGTAGGGTTATGTGTTACCGGAAGCCCGTGGACTTCACGATGTGAATGCTGCTATTTGAAGTTTGATGACAATGACATTGAGACCGAGAGGTATGACTGTTTCACGTTATAGGACAGCAGTACTTACCTTCAAGTATCACATGATTGCTCCCTACCAGTGTGATTTTTGAAAAACGAAACCTATTGCTCTGTGTTTTTGTCAATTAAAAGTCCAGCGTTTGTCTTTCTGTCTACCAAAAAAAACAATTTTTTTGTTCTACCTAAGCTGAGAACCTTGAGAGGCTATTTCAGCGTAACCTTAACTAGTAGGTGAGCTCACGGAGCTCTAACAGGAGTGTTGCTAACACTGGCCCTAGCAAGAGCTTTGCTTCGCAAAATCTACCATCGGATCGGAAACGCGACCCACTGAGAAGATCCGGCGAGAAACTCAGTGGGCTGTGTCTGAGGGTGAAAATCCTAGATACTTACGAGACACTTCAATATTGACAGGGGTACTCCGTCTTCGTTCTCCAGTCAGCGAGTCCAGAACTGAACAGGAATATTTGGCTCGGGAGTCTTCCAAGCGGACGGAACGCACTATCATCTTCCAACCTTCATCCACGAGCAGCGTGGGACCGGCTGTAAACACGACTTGATCGACGAGACGAATCAACGGAATACTTAGAATAACACTTTATGTTAATAACTTTATTAAATTGCTAGCTTTAGTTCGCGACTTCGTCTGCGTGGAATAGTTCACAAATAATGCTTTATTTTAGAACAAAATTGGTTAGCATAAAAAACATTATAGTGAGCCAACCTTAACATAGAGACATATGCTGTCGCGGGCTTTGTTTTAGATCTTTTATAGGGGTACAATTCTGTCATATATTATTTTAGCGAAACTTTAACCGCTTCTGCAGCGCACGCAGCGGAGGCTCTCAAAGGTAAAAATAACCCCGATTTTGCAACATTCTTTATTGGTGCTCCGCTTTTATTGGTCTTAGCGTGATGTTATCTAACATATAGCCTACCTCGATAAATGGGCTATCTAACACTGAAATAATTTTTCAAATCGGACCAGTAGCTCCTGAGATTAGCGCGTCCGAACAAACAAACTCTTCAACTTTATAATATTAGTATAGATGAAAACACCTAATGATCTCTCAACATTTGTACGCAGCATCTATTCACGACTTAACCTAACCTAATCTGTCTTAAGAAGGAGGGAGCCTGGAGATCAGTAATACATGTCTTTGAACCTAGTACAGACTTTAGCTCTTTCAAAGGCTTACAAAATAAATTGTAAGGTTAATTTCTATTTATATTTGTACTATGTTTTAAGAGAGAAAAAAATAAATTATTTTGTTTTTTTTTTGGGAATGGTAATCTTTTCTTAGCACTTTGGTTAGTCTGAACCACATCCACGGGCCTAAAACAAGTGAATGCAGCGTGTAGTAAGGAAAATTTATGTTGACGGTATGTTATTATGAGGGGCAATTATTATTTTTATTACTATTATTTAAATACTACAAAAGATTTATTAGTTGGATCATTTGAAAATGAAATTGTTTAAGCAGTCGTTTAAAATTTTAAATAAGCGTTATTTGCAGCTGTTCTTTGTGTCATCCACCTTGAAATATAAGGTTAGAGTCTCAATTGTATTTTATAGTAACAGTATCACTATACTCTTGCGACAGAAATAGGCTGGATTATGATATCTGTCCGGGCGGGCTTAATACGCCCAAACAGTAAAATATTAACCTTTTTTTGTTATTGCTTAGATGAGTGGAGGAGTTCACGGCCCATCTAGTGTCAAATAATTACCAGAGCCCATGAACATCTACAACGTAAATGTCGTCCCTATTTCTGCTGTAAACAGTTATGCGTTTCGATTTGAATGGTGGGGTAGCCGTTTTAACTATACTTGAGACCTTAGAACTTATATCTCAAGGTAGGTGGCAGCATTTACGTTGTAGATGTCCATGGGCTCCAGTAACCGCTTAACACCAGGTGGGCTATGAGCTCGTCCACCCATCGAAGCAATAAAAAAAAACTTTTGAGACATGAATTTCAACATCTCAGTTTTTACAGTACAGCGACTGCTCCACCCTTCTTCATGGCAGACATAGGCTCACCAGTCTCTGTGTAATTTATTGCCAACAAACTTACAAAGGTGATCTGAAGATGGCAGAACTTCGTCGTCTCTGTACCAGGCGGCTACCGACGCGTGATCCTTCATCGGGGCTGGAGTGGTGCAGGTGAGGAGCGCCGGGCCTCCCGCCTCTGCTGACGTGGACGTCACGTGAACTTGCCAATCTTGCCACACCACTGCGTGTAAAATATTCGTAATTGAATTGATATCAATGGCATCGTAGTGTGTCTTTAATGATATCGATAAATCTGTAAAACTTTAAGCCCAGAGAACAACTCCATTAAATCAATGTTTCTCTCAGCGCAAGAAAAGTAAGTATGAAATCTTTATTCGATATTAACTATAATGGATTTTATTGAATACTAACTGACCCGGCAGACTTCGTAGTGCCTGAATCGATAAATTAAAGTCTTAAGACTTTTGTATAAAATAAACTTAAAACAAACAAAAGGAATCCGTCCGACGGGAGACACATCAAAGGGAAAACAAAATTGTTATTTTTGTTTAATTCCGTGCATTTTCATATTTATCATTACCTTTGAAACCTTTTCTGGACTTCCACGAATAATTCAAGACTAAAATTAGCCAAATCGGTCCAGCCGTTCTCGAGTTTTAGCGAGACTAACGAACAGCAATTCATTTTTATATATATAGAAGATTATAATATAAAGCTTAACCTCATGATTCATATTTTGCCTTTTCAATTGTACATTAATGTGACATGAGAACTTTTTTATATTATACGATACGATATATTGCGGGTGATTTGATTTATGGATTTGAATAATATCGGTAACGTTTACAAAAGGAAAATGTTTGACGTAATACACTTTGAGCTTTTTTTTATATTACTTATTCGTATAAGTAAAAAGATGTAAATACCATATTATTAGACATAAATCTAATAATATCGTATTTTATATTTATTTCAATTGTATTTCACAACAATATTGTCTTTTCAATAAAAACTAAGAAAAACAATAAGAAAATTACACAAGAAGGATTCCGGTTAAAGTTTTTTAAAATTCTTTTATTTTATTTAATTCTTTAATTTTTAAAATTAAAGAATTTTAAAATTCATGTAAAACAATGAAGTCTTTTTATTTATTTTTATTACTTTTATGGGTGGACGAGCTCACAGCCCACCTGGTGTTAATTGGTTACTGGAGCCCATAGACATCTACAACGTAAATGCGCCACCCACCTTGAGACATAAGTTCTAAGGTCTCAAGTACAGTTACAACGGCTGCCCCACCCTTCAAACCGAAACGCATTACTGCTTCACGGCAGAAATTGGCAGGGTGCTGGCACCTACCCGCGCGGACTCACAAGAGGTCCTACAACCAGCAGAAAAGTTTTTTTATACTGACATTATGATCTGTCATATATCAAATATTAATTACCTTTAAGGGATTTGAATATAATATTCCACAATAATCGTCAGGATTAAGTAACTAATCCTGAAATGGTTATCGAATTTCCGAGGGTCTATTACCGGAGTGCTGTCAGGATTTACAGATTTATTGGAAAAGGTTCCACGTCATTATTCTGTATCGCCAATTTGTGCGTTGTGCCGTAGAAGGGAAGAGTTCAATTTGTCTACTATTTGAATGGTTCTGTTGGAGTTTCTTATTGTCTATTAAGTGTTTTATCATATTTAAATTATAGTTGCACACAAGAAATAAATATAGGGTGCTCACCTATATTCTCACTAAAATTAAAACCGTGGAAAGAATTCGTTAAATAACAATCAGTTAAATAATTGATTTGTTATTGCGTTTAAAAATCTTCATTAATTGAGAAAGGATCTACCGATTTGGTCATTTTACTTTTCGCTGTACCTACTCACGATTGTCAAGAAAAGGTTTGCTTAAAAGAATTTAGAAAACTTCGCATGTAAAATTCTTCGCAAAGTTAGGTTAGTTTTATTAGTTCTAATTGAATAAAAGCTAACGCAGAACTCTGATTTCATCTGGATCTTTAGATTGATGATTAAAATAGATTTAAAAAAAAATTCGTCACATTGATAGTTTTTATTTATTTCATAGGTAGACAGTAGGAAGAGTCAATTGCACGCTCCACATGTAAGAGATTGTCAAATTAGACACGACACCCTGAATAGAAATATCTACCTTAAGACAAATGGTCCAATTGCGTTGGAGTAGCCGCTGTCACACCTTTCGATTCAGATAGCTAGATTGCTATTTTTGTTTCTTAATTAAAACAATTTTTTTCTCCAACTTTGGTATCAGCTCTTTGCAAAGTTTCAATTAAGTTTATTTCTTTCAACTATGAAAAGGTTACAAGAACTGTAACTTACTAATTTAACCTACTAGTTAATGCTCAATGTAAATAACTTTTTTTTACAGAAATTTAATAAAAGCTCATAACAAAAATGCCCTATGGGGATGTATGATTGCAACGATTTCACGAAGAAAAGACAGTTGCCCACTGACTGATGGTATGATGAAAAGAACTAAATGATTATTGCGTTATATCATCATTATTGCATTTGAAAGTAATCTTGAGCATTTGGCTGTGCCCGTGGGACTGTTGTCGCCAATGATCGACTGTGAGTATCATCAAAAGAGTGTATGCCCATCTTTGAAGGCACTAACAAGCAATTTTTCAGGGTGCTCCTCATTTAACGTAGAGTATAAAGCACAAAAGGAACCAAAGCTATTTTAATATCCTTAAATAAAAACTTAAAGAAACTTAATCAGAAAATCAAAAGCTCTATTAAAAGTGAAAGCTCTCCAAAAACGACCCCGCATGCACTCGTTCAACCAAAATTAATTACAAAGCAAAGTTTCGTATAACTGTAACGACCCGTGGTCCGGTCCGGTTTTGTAACTAGCTTCCACCGAAGGCTTTGTTTGAATCAAGTTGAGCAATTAATTGAATTAGGAAATTGGAAACTTATTTAAGCGTTTACGTTTCGTAATCAATGGGACGCTTCGCAAGGTCTGTTTTTTTATTGCTTTAATCTAGTGTTAAGGTGTTAGGAGCCCCTAGACATTGACAACGTGAAAGCCCGTACCCACTTGGAAGCGGGGGTTCGAAGTCTCAATTGTATAATACTATATTCTGGTAGAGTGTCTTCTGAGCTAAGCTGCTTTCTAGCAGCAATCGAGGGGACGATGCTACCTACTCGTACCGGCTTAGAAAACCTTCCACCCTCAGTAATAATAAAGTTGTATTACGACGTCTTTTCAATTACATGAGCTCGAAGGTTCAGTTTGCAAAATCGACGTTTGCTTCTCCATAATCCATTCGTAGTATAACCAGTATACCATATACCATAATAATATATACCATTGCTACCATTTGCTAACCGTACGTGCTCTCACGCCTACATTGAGGCGTATACAGATTGGTCACTCACACAACTAAGGGCGGCGCGAAGTCGTACTTTGCAACCAGGGCCCTAAAACGGCGATAATTTAAGACAAATATTTGTTTGTATGGAAACTAGCGACATCTTGTAGCGGATGCCCCTAAATTATACGTTGTTAAAAGCTTAATTATTGTATAACTAAACACAGAAAATAAAAAATTTATACTTCATACAAGTATTTATTTGTTTATAGACAAATAGATTAAATTTTATCAAAATATATATGTTACCTCCATCTACGGGACCAATGACAAACTAATCGAAGCGAAGCCATCTAGTGGCCGACGCCCGTAAACATTTTTGTTGAGTGCTTGAGTTGCTTATCTATAACTAATTTATATATGTATTATCTATGCTTTGCAATAACTATAGCAGTTCATTTTCTATTGTCGTCCCACATTTTTGTAATTTTAACATTAATCGCTCCCATCTTCAGGGGTTGGAGTAGGAAACCGAGCGGTAGCGCGATGGCACCAGGAGGACGGGACGACACGTCGGGCGTCCTCGGGGTGGCGCCGCGTGTCTGGTTGTAGTGTTGACCGCGGGAACCCCCCTACCCTGACCGGGTTCTGACCCCGGACGGAGATCGGACGTCGGGTGTAAGAGTGCAGGGAAGTTGTTTAGTCCGGTAGGGCCCTAAAACTCTTCGGGCCCGCAGTCTTGCAGTCGCGCCCCACCATACACTGCACGCCCCCTAGGTGCGGGGACCTCGAAGGAGGTTCGGCCACGGCACGAAAAAAAAAAGGAAACCGATCGGTGTTGATGGAGCACTCGGGCGTTTTAGTCTTCTAATGTAATTGAACGATTATCCTACGCCCTACTTCACACACTTCAAACAGCTCGTGTTTCGCCTTTTACTTATTATTTTTAATTCGGTCACTTTCAATTTTAGTTGTATGCGGATTTCTGTTTCGTTTTTACTTATTCTGTTTTTATTTCAGTGAATAATTACTTCATAATAAATAAACGATCCGTTATTCTGTCTCATGTTATGTATTATTATTATTTTCTTTTTGGGGAGACCATATTATTGAAATGATATACATTATGGAAGTTCAATCTCACGTTTCAAGCAGTCTGTGCTCAATATGCATTAATGTATTACGAAATATGAAAGAATAAACTTAAAAATCTAAGAAAGTTGTCTATAATTTCATGAAATGCAATGAGGTGTACACTTTTCGTGTCTGTGTTGTGTCAACTTTATTTTAATTAATGCATTCGGTCCACTCATTACCTCGTATATTGTTTTGTCCCTGAAGTTTGAAAAACCTTTATAATTCAAAAGATAACGACTATTTACCACAGTTCTACCCATGGTTTTCAAAGATTTTAAAGAAGAAACAATAATGTTATTTATATTTATTTGAAAAGAAAAGTTATTTTAAAAACACTATCTAATTCTCGCATAACTGTTCTGAGAATTACTAATAACATGTGAACTAGAAGCTTGTTTATCCAATTAATCTAGAAAAAGCAATGCTAGAGGTAGATCCAAGTCGTCAGCTACCACTGAGAATTCTGTTCAAATTTAATTTAAAGATTAATCGTAGTTCTGAGAAAACAACCAAAAATCAACTAGAAAATAAATTTAGTAATTATCAGTTTTCAATGCATGTTTTTTATTATTATTTATTGCCTAGATGAGTAGACGAGCTCACAGTCCTCTTGGTTTTCAGTGCTTAACGGAGCCCATAGACATCTACAACGTAAATGCCGCCACCCACCTTGAGATATGGTTTCTAAGTTCACAGTATAGTTACAACGGCTGCCTTACCC